CAGCAACGTCAGATAAGCGCCCAGGGATCCAGCCCGCGCAGCCTGCGGAGGTTCGCGGCCGGTGGCGCAGTGGCGTGCACCTCGGTAAAGGAGGCTTGCTCAAGAGGCTCATTCCAGGAAAAAGCTGGTGCAGAACAGTGTTGAGAGTGCAATGTTCTTTATTATTTCTGGGGAAGGCGATTGCGTAAGGAGGGAGGGGATGCTCACTCTCTGTCTCGTATCTCTCTATAATTCGTTCACATTTTTTGCAAGGGCATTATCACATCAACCATTTTTCACAATGTGTAATTCATTGGAGGGAAATAAAAGAATCTGGATGGCAAACGCACCAACTGAGGGCCCCCCCTGGAAGTGAGGCTACTGCCAAGCGGCCCAGGAAACTGAGGGACATCTGGAGGCTACGTCAGCGCAGGTGGCAGTGGCCATAGCTCATGTCATCCTGCTGATTTCTGGAGGCGTAACAAGCACCTTGAGGGCTGAGATAAATGCTCCTTTGCACACTGTCTTCCCCATCCACCTAAACCTTACACTCAGGGCCAGGGGTGGAGGCGCCAAGGGGCCCGTTGGTTAAGAGCAGTATTCAGCTCGATAAGAAGATCCCCACCCCCATCCCACTATAAAGTCAGACACCCACCCAACTGACGTGGCTCAGTGGTTGAACATCAACCTATGAACTAGGAGGTCATGGTTTGATTCCTGGTCAGGGCACATGCCCGGGTTATGGGCTCAATCCCTAGTGCAGGGTGTGCAGGAGGCAGCTGATCAGTGATGCTCGCTCATCATTGATGTTTCTATCTCTCTCTACCTCTCCCTTCCTCTCTGAAATCAATAAAAATATATTTTTAAAATAAAAAAATAATAATAAAGTCAGACACGTGAGTGGAAAACTTTCTAAGATCTACGCTGTTAAGATCTCCAGCATTCCCCTATCTGTCCATCCATTCATCCATCCATTTCACAAATGTGTATTAAGCATCTTCTGTGTACCAGACACCATTCCAACTTCAAGGGGCTGGGCATTCAGTGGTGACCCACACAGATACTGGGTCTGCCCTGTGAAGCCTACAGTCCATGGGAAGACAGACAACCAGACGTGCGATTATAGTGAGACAGGCATCATGGGAGAGAAGATCGGGGTTCTATGGGCCTTCGGGGAAGAGGAGAAGAGGAAACCCATGGGCATCAGGGTGAAGGCTGGGGGTTACTGAAGTGATGTGCCAGTTGAGCCCTGAAGTAAGGGCAGGAGCTCACCCAGAGGAGAGGATCCCAGCAGAGGGACCAGCATGACTGGTGTGTGGAGCTGTAAGAAGCGGGAGAGTGAGGAGTCCAGGAGAGAGCCTGATTACAGTACTAGGAGAGAGCGGACGCTTCGGAGGCCTCTACATAAAGGCTTTGGCACGAGCTCCACCTTCAGAGTGCTTGACGGGGAGGCTGGTCATATTACTGACCCTTAATGTGATGTCTCTAAGGTCTCACCTCCCTGTCCTGGCCATATTCCCAAAAGAGCTTGGGCTCTGGGGTCAGAAAGACCTTGGCCCTGACCTTGAGCAAGTCATCTCACCTCCCTGAGCCTCCGTTTCCTCATCTGTAAAGTGGGATTAATAGCAATACTTACTTCTCAGGAGTGTTGTGAGAATGCAATCGTGCCCTCATGCCAGTTCCTGATGTATCCTAAGGTCTTAATCAACACAAGCTGTAATTCTGTCTGATTGAGCATGGTTTGGTCAGTGTCAACGCCGAGTGATAGGCACATGGGGCTTACTACCCTCTTCTATTTAGTTTTGAAATTATTACAATAAAATGTATTTATAAAAACCTCTGCTCACACAATTTTCTGCGATTGCTGCTATGATGCACGCTCCTTTGGGGAGTGCTCTCATTCATTAGAATGCAGCAGGAACAGATAGCAGAACATTCCTCCAAAATCCCCAACTTCCAGCTGCCAGCTCCATCCTCGCAGCACTCGGAGGGACTCTGTGCTGCGCCCCAGCCCATCTTGATTCTAGGAGGCGCCAGTGCCAACATCAGAGCCTCAAAATCAGGTGTAAGAAGGGAATACTGAGACTTTCATTTTATTTATTTTTAATCTAAAAAGGAGAGAAAGTCAAGCATCACTAATACTTAAAATATGGATGGAACTGTGCAGTCTGAGAGTTAAAGTGCAAAGTCTTGCTGTGACTCATGAAAGAACATATTTTCTTGCGTAAGATTCTGGGAAAATGGCAAGTCGAAGGGAAACACAGGAACGAACCCTTGTTTCTTTTTATTCCCATGAGAAGAGACCCGTCTCCAAACGTGGTCAGCCAGCTGGAATATAGATACTGACTTGAACGTGCAGATCCTCTGATGAATATAAATACAAAAAAGAGAATTTTTTAAGGTATGGATTGACAGGATACATAAATGATTCATCAGTCGAAGACATATTGGGTGTGAGTGCTGAAAAGTGTTTGCCCAAAAGAATCCGTGGACTGCGGAGCAACTGGTCTCCACAGTACACACTGTGGTCCCTCCATGGTGTCATCAGGCTGAATGCAGAGGGAGGCCTGGGTATTTTGTCTTGGCTGCCCAGCAGAGCCATCTGCTCACCCAGATAAGAGGAAAATGTAGCAGAGGCATAACTTCTATCCGACTTTCCGGGGCCAGGTGTGTAGCTCATGCACGCAGGCGGTCCTGAAAATAACTGGTCACATAGAAGCAGGCCGTGGGAATGAAGAAAGGGCCTTTGGCCAAAAAGGAGCAGCCATGCTCACTTCAGCTAAACCCTCTGCACCTGCAAGACGTCCCCTCCCCATCCCAGGAGGGCGAAGGGAGAGGTGATACAGGAGAAGGTGGTCAGTGAGCCTAAGGAAAAGGGGTTGCTGGTGGAGAAAGACAGGTCCAAATGCTTCCTTTGGAGTTTGTGCCCTAAGGGTCCTGCTGGGTCATCAACTCTGACCCCAAGGCCAGGACATTCAGCCCAATTCTTCAGGAGTGAGTGCTCTCTGGGAGCATCCTGGGCCAAAGATCAGGGCTGGTGCTTGTCCTCTGGCCCTGCAGAGCATGCTGAGATCCCCGACGGAGAGGAAGGTAAGAAGTCTATCCCACCCACCTGCTCTCCTCTCAAAGGCTCGGGAATTCTGGGAGGTGGATGTACCTCATTTGTGCAGTCAGGCGCACTCCCGGCCTGGAGGTCTGAGTTCAAGTCCAGGCTCAGTCTCTTATAAGCTTCGTGAACATGGGCCAGTCACTGGACCTCTCTGAGCCCTGATTTCCCCACCTCCCACAAGGCCAGAACAATACCTTTCCTACTTCCCCCGGGATGCCAGCATGGTAATCCCAACCTGAGAACACCGTGAGAAATGGACCTGAAAGCAATTAGGACATTTAAACAATCCTTTACAATTAGGATTGATAATAACTGCTTACTCAACTAGAGGCAAGAATGATAACTGTCTGGGGCAGAGGGTTTCTTGTATTCCACATGCCCTCCCAGGATGATGGCAGCACAAGTGGCGGGGGTGGGAGGTCTGGTGTCCCCTCCCTCCTGCCTCCTTCTCAGGGAGTCTCAGGGAGTCCTCCCGAAAGACAGCGGTATCAGGACCCTCGGGGGCCACGAGGGGCCTGGGACAGGCAGAGTGTGCAGACAGAAGGAGGTTGCTCCTGACCTGGTCCTGCCTCCCGCCGCTGCCTCATCAATCCATCTCCTCTTAGCAGCTGACAGCACCTCCCGGCAGCCTGGGCATTAGAATTGCAAGAAACCCGGCTGCACTGGGGAATACCGATGGAGGAATCTCAGATTCAAATGTGTCTAAGTTTTATGAACAGCCAGATCTGGGCAAGGCGTTCCTACTGCCCTTCCACCAAAGGGGAGTGGTAAGGGTTTTGTTAGAAGTACAAATTGCTTCTTAATGCAGAGGATGAATCTGGGTGCTGGCACCTCTTTAGAAATTCCTCCCACTCCCTGGAAAGCCACTGCTGCATGTCAATTTTAATTTTTGAAATTTAAACCGAGGGCTTTGTGTCTAAGCTCCATCTCATCGGAGAAGGGGACGGATAAGTCAAAAAGAATTAGGGTCCCGCTGGGGATTGCAGATCCATAGCAATTAGACTTCATTTGGGTCTCAGACATTTGGTTTTAATCGCATTTCTGAATGATACAATCGACAAGGCATCAGAAATGTATACTATGCAACTGTAGATGGGGCCCGACTCTGCCCTCCCCAGTTCCTGGGCTCAGCTGGGCTTGGGCTCCTCAGTCAGCAGGGGTGGGGTCGGTTGAGGAATTGGGGTTCAGTTTCAGTCTGGAACTGGGGAATATATATATGATTTGTTTTCTGCCTTGCTGTCTTTCAGAACTTTATCCCTGGACTGAAAGCAGATGCAATCATTGCTAATACTCCAGTTAATGACAATAAGACATTATTCAAGTAAAATAAGAGCATCGAGAGGAATAGCCACAGCAACGGGACTTGAAGCAGGGGTATAATTGTCTCTAAAGGGGAATCACAGCTTTAGCGTCCTCCAGGAACTAAAGTTGAGCCCAATGTGATTTGGGGGCAGACATGCAGCCATGAACATTGTCACCCACATTGACCTATGAATACATGTGTGTGTGCACATGTGTAACATGGACTAGTGATGACAACCACAGTATATCCGCATGGTGTGTGTGTGTGTGTGTGTGTGTGTGTGGTGTGCGCGCCTCCAGCTTTACACAGGTACACACACTCTGGGATTGCCTCCGTGTGCACACATTTCTCTTCAAACCACTGGTCAAAATGAACTCAGTAAATACTAACAGGTTGTTAACTGGTTATTTTGTAGAGAGTTTATTATTTATTGGAATTCAATGGTCTAAAAACAAAACAAAAAAATAAAGAAATCAAAGCCATGTTGGCTGTTTCCCTACCTTGTGTGTGTGTGTGTGTGTGTGTGTGTGTGTGTGTGT